GGTATTTTGGAAATGCACGGTGCAAGCTGGAAAATTTCAGTATGCCTCCAGTATGGGTGTGTATATGAGCGTATATGGGCGTATATATGAGTATAAATACTGGAGACATGCACATATACACACTTCCATAACATTGCTAATACCTACCACGCAGGTTCCTCGGTTTCACAAATGAGCAATCTTGCCCGTTAAATATATAGTTGCCACCTACAGTTTGGGGCAGGCAAACTTTTATCCCCACGGAAAACAGACATGCTATAATCACTATGTATTCGTTTGCCCTTTACTGTGTGCAAGTTTCACAAAACGGATTTATAAAGTGAATTAAGGGTCCTAAATATTGCTGATACCAAAGAAAAGGCTTTTTTCTTTATGCACATGAAATTACACACCTTAAGCAAGGTATCATAATATCATTTCATATTTCTTCACGCGTCTGACCATTGACCTGAAATTACCAATCTTTGTATTAATTTTTTCTCGCTATCCTCCTAGATATGCATCATAGACCAAATCAGATTTTTTAGCGTGCTTTAGCGCTTCTCCGTTAGCAACGACGACTAATTCACACATTTTAAGGCCTGTAACGACCCTTTCTCTGTACCTGTCTTATTGCACCTGCACCCCGTTTCTGCCACGCCTGCAAACCAAGCAGGGCCTGGGCAGTGCTGATTGCCGAAGCAAAGCTCACACTTGCACACAGTTTGTTGCAGCTCTCAAGAACAATCTGCACATTCAACATTTAGAATGAAAGAAGGAGCAGGGAGAAGAGGAGCCGTCTACGACTGGGGACAGGTGAGTGAGAGGCTTCAGATAACGGGAAGCTCCCATCATCAGAAATAAGGGAATGCTGTCAGGGCACATTAGAAGTTCAAAGAAAACAAAACCCATCAAAACCCCCAAAACAGGAAAAAACCCCAAAGGCCAGGGACAAAAGAGACATGCTCTGAAACGGAGCCAACAGCAACCAGCTCTGCATATCATGTCAGGTAAGAAACACCAGGGGAAGGACGGGTGGTGTGAACAGGACAGCAGCCAGCCACCGGCGGGGTTTGCCGTCTGCGTTAAAAACGGCATCTGTGCATACCGGTACGTGGGAAGGAGAGGGAAAAGAAGAGACAGGAGGAAACGCATCTCGAAGAAAGAGAGGCAGGTAAATAAATGCCACATTTGAATTTCAAAGCTAGGAAGATCTAACCTACAGGATATACCAATTTGATATTTCTTAGGGAAAAAAAAAAAAAAAAGAGTTTGTCACATAAGGAGTTGCTGCTAAGATGATAAATACTGTGAGGTGAACCAACTCAATTTATATTGGCTGGTCTAACAGACAAGTACTGTCAGATAATAAGTGAAATTCAGGCTCTCTACAATTTACTTTTTTCTTTCTTTTCTGACTATGGGAGCACACACTAAAGCAATAAATCTAGGTCTGAAACTATGAGTATCCCAGTTAAAAAATACTAAAAAATCAATACATGAATGACTGACAAATGGCTGTTTCTACAACTACAACTGGGCTGTATCATCGTGTCATGAAAGGAATTTAAAGAGGATGTGTAGGGAGCAAACGACCTCGGCAGTACAGAAGCGGGTGAGGGTATTGTAACTCCGGGTCAAAGAGTAACGGCAGCTGCAGACAGGGTAGCAGAAGGGCTGGAAACGCGCGGGATGAAGTACAACCCTGCCTGGGCATATCGGCATGACCAAGCAGCACCTCTGCCCAGCACTGACACACAGAGACTACAAACACCCAACACAGCTAAATCTGCATGATTCACATCGCCCTCCCGAGAAAGAAAATACCCAAGATAAGGATGATACTGTTTGCTTTTCCACAGCAATGTGTTGCAGCTATTGCGGTAAAGAGGTCAGACATCAAGTGTCTGCACAAGGACTGGATGACATGGCCTGGAATCTGCATGCAGCAGAGGTGGCTGGAAGACACGTTGCTACCACCACCTGGAGAAAGAAATGTTCTCACGAACTTTGCAGAATGCACAACTTGGCATTTCCAGCCATTGCCACAGTATTTTATTTATTTTTTTAAAATTCAGTTACAGATTATTTGCACCTTTGGCCACATGGACCACATGCCTTAGAATAAAGGATCACATTTTGCATGAAGTATTACTGTCTCTCATTGGACAAATTCAGGGGTATTTCTACTCAAAGCAGTTACTTTCCACTTTTCTGCCTCTGATTCAATCATTAGAGTCCCTTTAAAATAGTATTTATTGATCACGTTTCGTACAGTATTTAATTCTCAGAATTACAATTAGGAAAATTGTAAATTATAAATTGTAAATAATTGTCACATAAAGAACTGATTGTCCTGTCAGATGAATCCCGTATTATTCAACTGCTAGGCTGAGAAAAGCCACTTATAATTGATGGGCTATTTCCACAGGACACTGCGTGACACTGGCTATTAGATCAATTCCCACTCGTGTATTTAAAGTTCTTTAAACTCCAATGCCTTTATCAAATGACCCTCCTCGGGCTTTACATTAACTAAGGTTTTTTCAGGACATTTTCCTTCTGGTTAAATGATACCAAATCCTCTCTTCTTGATGCAGTTTGTTGTTTCGTTTGTTTGGTTTTTTTATAATAGCTAGCATTTCCCTTTTTCTTTTACAGATTTTCAACCATTTTTTCATTTACAGTCCCCTGTTACTGAAGGCTAACAAACTCCATATAGGCCTTTGTACTGCTCTCCCTTTGCATTCTTTTTCTTCCTTTCTTGTCTTCTATGTCAACATTTATACAAACACAAAATCTGCATTTCTACAAAATCTGCAGAAGTATTAAAAAACTAAGGTTGGAAGGGACCTCAACAAGATCATCTAGACCAACTCCAGTATCTCAAAATATTAGTCACACTAAAAGCACGTGAAGCTCCCGCAGTCAACCACGTATCAGATGACCAAATCCAGATGCAGATACTTCCAACTTCTGTTTGCCGTAGTACCGAGAACACCGTATGAGAATTTTGCTTAGTCTGTCACTATCCTGTATGTCTACAGCGCCTTTCAGCAAAGGACAAAACCAGCAGTCCATCCTCTAGCCTGCATATTTACTGTCTAATAGTGATAACTCTGTCACAAACTCCATTAATCAGTCCAACGCCAGCTGCTGGCATTTCATCTGCAAGGTCAATTTTTATACAGAGTTGAGCAGTCTGAGTTTCAGATAACCAGGCTCAAGCATTTTAACAATCGAAGATTATCGGTCTATTTTCAAAAGGAATATACGTCACCAAGCTAGAAAAATGTTAGCGGATCACTGGACTTACACATCATCTAAATCAATGTAGAGCGTTCATACTTGTCAGATACTACTGTGAAATAAATCTTGCATCTTTTTTTTGTGTGTGCAGTTGTCTCATTTAAGATTTTATAGTAAAGCCTATCCTGAAAACAAAATTCTGAAAATACGTAGAATTTATAAGCTGTGTGCAGTTCCACTTGCATAAAATCAAGGGATCTAAAAATGAGTGTGAGCAACGAATTCATACCTATTACTAGGTAAACGTAATAGCATAATAGCTGAGCTCTTGAACATCTAGATGTTAATCAGGACATTTAAGTTTTCACACAGGGAAGAATCTGCACACACACCCACTCCCCAACCCAAGGAAATTCTTTGGATGCAAATTAGTAAGCCAGATGTTTCCACAAGAGAGGATAAAAGCAGCGTAAGATGAAATACAAATCCACAAGTGTGTTTTCAGTTGAAAATACAGTGTTACTGTACCAATTGTCACTTCCTCTTCAATGCCCACTCCACTGTATGAAATCAAATGCTGCATTACAGGAAAATTTCAGCTTTTGGAATACGAGTTTCCACTTTTCTGCCAAATTGGCATTACCATTGGTAACACTCTTCTTTAGTTACAGGCGAAAGAGTAAGTATTTCACCCCATTATACAATAGACAATTATCTAAACTTTGTTGAGCAGATTCCAAGGGAAAGAATTTCCTTCTCGTCTTAGTCCTTTAAAAAAGGTCCTAACACCATTTTAACAGCAGTTCAGAGATCACTAGCAAAACACTGCCATCTTTGCTTCTTGAAACGATTTTTGAAACCACTTTCACACAAATACACGTCTGCAATACAAGCACATAAACTGCGTGGTGTTACACTTAGTTCCAACTCTATTGCAGTTTAAAGTGTTTAAACATCACGACACACACATCAATCCTTGATTGTTCATAGTCTGCTTCTGTAAGCAGCCAAACCAAATCCACCGTTTCAGCAACTGCTGCTATTCGTTCATAGTATTTTTCCTAAAGCTGCTAAAATATACACTTCCATCCACCTATGCTCCAATAGGCTAGTACAGAAGAAACTGTAGCCACAAATAAATGAGCCATCACTGGATAGATAGAAGAATTTCCAATTACACAGAAAACAAGGAAACCAGCAACTGCATTATAAAACATACTCGGTTCATTTATTTAGATAAATGTAACTGAAATGTGATACAACTTTTTAATTATAGAAGTGTAATAAAAATAAAATCTTTGCTGCTGCTGCAATCCTGCAGTTGGAATTCCAAGCTTATTCCCACTGGGATTTTCCAGCTACTCTTGAGGTGCACTGGCACATGATATAGCTTCTTCTTTCCTAAAAAAAATTGCACAAGGATTTTGCCAGTTGGAGAATAAAACAATATTGACAGATCATATTTATTGTTCCTCACAGCAAGACTTTAATCTGATTTTTCTCACCTAGCAGTCTACATAACCCAAAACCATTGTTCTTGCCTTCCCCACATCACGTGAAACACAGCAGAATCTGATTCTGTCATCAGTCTCCATATCTCAAAGCATCCAAACAGTACTCTCTCAATTCTAGGTAAACTTTTCATATTCTTGTGTGTGCATATACACACACAAATCCAAGAGTTCACCATTTTTGGATATTTAGAAACAGTTATCAACAGTTAAATCTAACATTTCAATTTAACATTTCCCAAAGTTATATGCACAGAATTTTCACTGAAGGCTGTAGGTCTGCTGTGTGTCCTTCACTGAAAGGGTTATAAAGAGGGACCGTGGATCCTTTCTGTTTTTGCGGACTGTTATCTTTCCTCTCAGGGCCTCTCCTGCAAAAGTAAAAAGGAAATTACTATGCTTACATTACTGAATCATGCACACTAACAGCAAAGATGCATTACACACCCTTATGTTGCATGAAAAGCTGTTCCCAATTAATCAGAATTCAACAAGTCTACAAAGGTTTCCTTTATGTTTTCAAAGCTCTAAACAACGGTCTTGACAACAAATGTAAGTCAAACTATCTGTAGTTACACCTGGTGAGGTGCTGAGTTATGTCTGATGGTTTACTTCCCTGACAACCCACCCAAAGAGCTGATACGCCAATTATTTTACCTGTGATTGGGGAAAAACACTGTATTCCTTGGATACATTAACCTCTTTGTATCTGGTTGTCCTGGTTTCGGCGGGGATAGAGTTAATTTTCTTCCTAGTAGCTGGTATAGTGCTGTGGTTTGGATTTTGGATGAGAATAATGTTGATAACACACTGATGTTTTAGTTGTTGCTCAGCAGTGCTTACACTAAGTCAAGGACTTTTCAGCTTCTCATACTGCCCCGCCAGCGAGTAGGCTGGAGATGCACAAGAAGCTGGGAGGGGTCACAGCCAGGACTGCTGACCCAAACTGGCCAAAGGGATATTGCATACCATATGATGCCATGCTGAACAAAAAAACTGGGGGGAGTTGGCCGGGCTGCAGGGGTGCAGCCGCTGCTCGGGAACTGGTTGGGCATTGGTCAGCAGGTGGTGAGCAACTGCATTGTGCATGACTTGTTTTGTATATTCTTTTATCATTATTATTATTTTCCCTTCCTTTTCTGTCCTATTAAATTGTCTTTATCTCAGCCCATCAGTTTTCTCACTTTTACCCTTCTGTTTCTCTCCCCATCCCACTGCGGGGGGGTGAGTGGTGTTTAGCTGCCTGCCGGGTTAAACCACAATGCTGGTTGAGTTGGATCTGCACATCACTACCTAGCATTTCCAGGCACGTACAAGTCTCAGCTGGACAGGTACTAAGTGCCACTGTACTATTCCCCCCCACCCCTGAACTTCAAATATCAACTTGTTTTCTCATGAAATGATATATAACATCTTTAAATTCTTGAACATAGATTTCCATCCATGAAGTAAGCAAATTATTAGCAGAAATAAAACAGTATAAAAAAGCAAAATTGCTAGCCCACAAAATTTAATATTGCATTATTTCTTTGCTGAGCTCTCTAATTTAAATGCATCACTACTATCAACTTTGAGTAAAACCAAGTAACCACAAAAACCTATTCCACTTCCTAATGCATATGCCATGTGGTTTGTATTTCCACTGCATTTCATTTAAGCTCTAATTAGGTAATGTTTTTATCTGGCAGGAAAGATTAACACAGAAATCTTCACGGCATTATACATTATTAATAGCAAGTTTTGTTGTACAAACTGTCAGGCTTTCTTGACCATAACACTTGGCATGTATGTGCTTCAGCTAAAACCAGAGAGAACGCTTTGATGCAGAAGGAAAGAGCTGAGCGACATCTAGAGAGGCACAACTCTCACTTTTGGTGTTACTAAATTTAAGTAAAAGCTTTTGTTCTAGAAAAATTCCAGGCCTTGATGCTTCTGTTTAACATTTTGTCCTAGCCCGCGCTGATCAAGGCTGGTTCCATCCCAACAGCAGCTACAGTTCCACAGCACATCAAGTTCTTCCACATTTATTCTTTACATAATTCAAAGGTCTGTTCTAGCTTCTAAAAGCACTTTCAGATTCTAAAACAAATGAGAAGAAAAATTAAACCTGCTGTGCTGGCTTAAAAACTTGTGTATACTCTCTAAGAAGAGCTGTTTTACTTTTCACGCACAAGATAGGAGATGTGGATATGGAAGTCCGATTTCATGATCTATCAGTCCATTTTATCGTCATGCGAACATACTCAACGGGTAAGATGTGAAAAGCCTTTATAGCTATGCAACCTTCTGAAACTTTATACAGGACTAAACGAAGGGACAATAAACCCATTTCTCTGTAGGCACAGCTGTTCTTAACTTCTTTTTTCCCCGCATCTAAGATCTTTATAATAAGAAGATAGCAGAAAAATAGATCTACAGATATTAGGAGCTCTGGGAACTGATTCATACTATATAAATTTAGGACAAGACTTACAAGTTTGTATCCATCATGTAAAAGTCACAGAAACTGAAACCCATAGCCAATTCCAACTAGTCATAGGGTTTACTATTTGCTTATTTGAAAGCTTTATTTTAAAAAGCAGTTTTGAGACACCAAGCTTTCAACATGGTTCTTGATTTCCAGCTACTTAAGGAGCTACTTTAATTAACAATATTCATATTTTTGAGTATTAAGCACAAATTTACTGAGAAGGAGGTACAGGAGGACATTAAAGAAAGTTTAGTTGTCTTATTAGCTTTCACCTGCTTCCCCCAACCCCCATCCTACGCCCCAACAAAAAGCCAGCAAATTCCATGTTCCCTGGGCAGTGCCGTAAGATTCCTCCAGACTTGCGTGCCTGACGGGAAGCAGGGGGTAACAAAAAGAAAAGCCTCAGATCTCTGCAGAGCAAAGGTATGGGGTAGAGTGTCATATATTTCCCTAAACCATATACAACTGACATTTGGGCTACATCGTCCCCACTAAATACCGGAGAGAAGTTAATAAATTTCAAAAACTTTAGTGTGGCTGTAAATCTAGTACTTGAAAATTTTAGCTTCAAGTCTTTAGTTTCATGGAAGGAGAAAAACAATCAAGAGGTAAAGAAATGGAAGCAAACTGCAGCAAACTTATTTGCAAATGCAAATTTCTTTCTTGATATAGACACACATGACTGAATGTATTAATGTTACGTATGTATGAAAGGATTACTTTTTCAACATTTCAGTGTTTGAAATATTTATTTACATGGCAATTTCAAGAACGTATGTGTGAAGAATGGCTTCCCGATTTTGGCGTCGAGACTAAAAGCCTGAAGTCAACATCCCTTTAAGTAGAAATGACTAGATTTGTATGGTTTTTGAACTACCTAAATACTTACAGTACATTGTGCATCACAGATTGCTTCAAACTCAGATTACCACAGCAATGATTTCAGACTTGCCACATACAAAAATAACTAAACCATACTTTCGAAAAGAGCTCAGGATACAATCCAGAAGCTGAACCCAAATACCTTCAGGTTAGTATTTTATATTTTATTTATTTACAAACAAGTGAAATTCAACGGCCTGGACTGCAGAGAGGCAGAATGGATTTTTATATTTTAAATCTGACAATGTGTGAAGTTTTTAAATAACACCATATTTATGTTAGAAGAAATAAAACAAGATTTTGAGCCAACAGCATTAACATTTTCAAATAAGGTATCTGAAATGACATGCCCCAGCAAGAGACTAATTTTGAAGTTGGAGGACCATCACCTTGTGTAACACATTGGGGGACTACAAGAATCAGGGTATCTTCTTTGGTGGCCTTCACTCAGATACTCAAAAGGTCAAACTTTCATGCAACTTACATGCCATTGCAAAAGCTCTGGAATGACAAATTCTGTTCCTACAGCCTGGCTCTGGCTTGATGACCAACATATACATTGCATTCTTTTTTTCTTTAGGAAACTACACACTCAGTGAATATTCTAGTATTTGAAGAAAAAAAAAAAATCCACAAATACAGATGTTGCTTCATATTGCAAGGAAATATTACCTATATAGGCTTTTTAGTCTTATTTTTAATGAGCTTACTGAGCAGGTATCTCTTAATTTCACTATGCTTTTGTGAAGATTGCTGCTTGCAGTTACTAGAAAAAACTAATCTCAATTTATTTTCAGTCCTTAATAGGACCTGCAATTTAAGTTGTATTTGTAAATATTTAGGAAGCCCATTGCTGAGCCACTTCATACCATCATTTTAAAACCACAGGAACCACATCTAAGCAGATGATTCTACTAAACACATTATAGGAGGGCATGATCTCGATCTACAGCAGCAAGTTCTCTGCTACTCTTCCATTAGGCTTCCCTTGCCCCATTCATCTTCATACCTCACACCAGCCACATCCACTGTTACACCAGCCACATCCACTCTTACTACTTTTCTACCTCACTGGATCCAAAGTATTTCCCAGCTGTTCATTACTTACTGTGATTTTAAAGGCTATTGTTTATGTTCTGTTAAAAAGCTGAAATTTTCAATATTCTTATTGCAAAAACGAAAACAAATAGCAATTTGAAAACTAAGCCGGTTTCAAATTCAGTAATCATTTTAGAATTCTCCATTTGGCACAATTCTCAGTGGCATCCACAAACAGTAAACTGACACAAGACCCACATTATAAATAATAAATGCAGGACATTTTGTCGAAGGCTGTAGTATAAACATCAAAGAAAGCTTTTCAACAAGAATGACTGTGTACCAATACTGTACAAAAGATCAAAAAAAGTATTCTTTGATAATTTAACAGTTAGTTGGAGATTCCACTTCAATTCCTGTGCAGCTTTATTATTAGGACACAAATGATTGACATAATACAATGCGATTTGCAAAGAACTGTGAAAATGGTTTCACAGATTATTTAAACAGAGACAGATTCGCCAGGTAGAAGGACAAGGTAAAGAAAAAAGGGCATTACAGCTTCTTTCCAGCTAGGAAATTTAACCTAGTTTGAACATACAGATTTTCAGAACTGCTACAAAATGAATTATTTGATATATTTTAACATCCTATAATAACAACTTTTAAAACATTCACTAAGACTAAAGAGCCTCTGAGAACTAAAATTCCACTATTTAAATTAATCCATACTTCAATCTTACAATTTAAAACATTAATACAAAGCAATACAATAAATGAAATAAAAATCCAAATATAATTTCATAAATTATAGCTGACTTCATAGAACAGAACCCTCAGACTCTGTTTGTAAAGGCAGTTAATGAAATGAAGCATTCAATTTTTCTCAGCTATTTCTTATGCAGTAACCGCATTAAATCCGCCTTTCTAAACAGTCTTTTCTGAAGGCCGAAGCAAACAACAGCAGTGCAACCAAGTAAC